CTGACTGTCTTGAATACCTGTATTGAGTTAGAGCTATGGCTCAAGTGTTAACCAGCCGGGGTAATTTAAGGTAGTCATACATAGTATTACTCCTATCAAGCTTATTTTCTCATATGTTAAGTTTATATGTAAACTTCAAAAAACTATTCATTATACTTGTTTCCTATCTTGTAACTCCTGTGTATAGTCTGTTATAATAGTGCCAGCTGTTTGCAGTATATTCACGTTCCCATGGGAGCTCGTTTCTACAAGTATCAGAAGCAAAAGAGGAAAAAGTTTTCATAAGGGAAAGGTAGTCTACAGAGTGGAGTGTAGCAGAGAGAAGAGTGGGACCTGAGAAAAGGCCACTAGATTTGGAAACTGGTATCACTGCTCATTTGGAGAGAGTAGTTTCAGCAGAGCTGTGAGAGGGCATGTGGCAGAGGAACAGAAGAGGAATGGTAAGTGACTAAAGGTGAATTAGTGGCAAGGAAGTAGTTCTGAGAGATTCTGAGGTGTATGAAGGAAGATACAGTTTTGCTTTTCAGCATAGGAAAGACTTGAATGTGGTTATAGGCAAAACAAAAGTACAAAAGAAAAACCAAAGATGTAGAGGAGGCAAGAGTGCAAGAGCTGGGATTGAGAGCATCAGTGAAGAGATTGGCCTTGGCATGTCTTCCAAACGGAACGAATGACTAGAGTGCAGGTGTGGAAAAGAGATGCTGAAGGAGAGTGCTCACTGAATGACTGCAATCCTATCCATAAGAGAGGGGTTGAGGGCATTTTCCTAGAAGGTATGAAGAGGGTAGAGGTTTGCGACCCAGAGAACCTTTACCACTTTGTAAATGCATGTATGTATTAACAGATCCAGAAAGAATCTAGAAACTTAAAAGTGATTTCACTGGGATCATTGCTTGAATTCATAACTTTTATTTTTAGTTTTAGGAGAACTGAATGGAGCGAATGCCTTTAGAGGGGCATCAATCATTAGGGTAAAAATATGGAAAATGATAGAACCAAAACTTGGTTCTAAATTAAATTAGATTTCTTTTCCTGCTCTCCTTAGCTTTTTTAAAAAATTAAAATTATACTTGTAGTATTTCTGAAGTCAAGCAGTATAGAAGGAAATAGTGAAAAGCTAAGAATCACAAAATATGCCTCTACTACCAAGTTTAGCTCCCAGAGGGAGAACTAACTTCTGGAGACATTCAAGCTGTTTTGTGTTTCTTCTCCATGCCTCTCAATAGTATGTTTATATTGCTGTTTCTTGACTTTTAATTTCAGACATAGTTTTCAAGACTGGAAAGTGAAGATTTAGCTTTAATTTCTGACGTCCCCTCCTTCCCACCATCTTTCTAGGATCATATCACTTTTTTGATTCCTTTATAGACTTCCTTTACAATGCCTAGTAATATGTTTTCACCTTTATTTCTTATCCCGTCAACAGTATTTCTTGGCTCTCTAGCATGTAAGATGACAGTATTAACACCACTATTCTTCCTTTTGACTCTCCTCCCTTCTTTTT